ATAGTATGGTCGTCTCGGAGTTTTTAGGAAAAATCTTTTTGCGAATGCCTTGTCGGTGGTTTTATAAGATTCGCCTGTCTGCTGATTGGTCTATAATATTGGGGGTGTGTGCTAGCCTCAATGTCTTTCGGTGGTGGTGGTTGTTTAAACAATCTGGGTCCTTGTGCCTATCTTAAGGGTGATACATTTTTGCTTGTTACGGTTTACTCAACGGTGGTTTAGGTGACAATGAGTGTATAGAAGTCAAGAGACGTTGACAATAGGGACATAAAACAGTCCTCCACTTGACATGGGACATTGCTGTCCTAAGGCCGCAACAATCCTCATCTGTGACTATTGTAAGTAAATGGGATCCTGTTTTAGTAAGACGACCGTTGTCTTCGCATTCTTGACGAATTTATAGCCCGAAATCACTTCTTTTATTTTTTCACTGTACAGTATGTGATTACTTAATTCGTTTATTTCTATGAAGTTTATTTTCAGTAACTTAATAATTCCTAAGTCGATTTTATCGTCCTTCTTGTTCACTTCACTGTGTTCAATATGACTTCTTCTCTTATCGTCCTTTGTCGTTCTCAATGTTATCACACCTTTATTAATATAGAGTTCTACTCACGTTAAAAAATCTTGTCGGAGTATTACTTGCGATGTCATGGACTCTCGCGTATCCACCAACATACCAGTTGTGTATTCGCAACCGTCGATAATCAGTTTTAAGTCAAATCACCCGATCGAAATAATTCGAGCATTACTAAATCCCATAAGCATACGCGACGTTTGGTTGTTAGTCTTACTTTGTTCATTTTATTAAAAAGATCTTGCCGAATAAGAGTCACATCACTGCCCGTATCCACTAAAGCGCAACATTCCATATTGCTAATATTTACTTTCAGGAATTTGTTCCCGTTACAATTTTGGTGCAATGTGACCAAAATTATTACAGCCGAAACATTTTATTCCTTTTTCTTTGTCTGGACAGCTTGCATAATTATGCTCCATCGAACCGTAACTGTAACAATGGGCCTTGTTGGATTTTCTGAGCTGTAATTTCTTTTTTTCTATTTCTACCCTCTTTATAAACTGCTTTTTATGTTCAGTCATTTTTTCCTGCCTCCTGTCGTACAATTCCAAACGCTTTCTTATTTCGTGCAACGAACGTGCCTCATGTAACGTCATCTTATTCATTTCGTCGTCCTGTATTCCGTTGATTATGTAGATTTTAATTAACAGACGTTTAGTTTCGTAACTAAATGTCTTATTCGGTTCCTAAGCTCGTAGGCAAATGCCTCAAAAATGCATCCCCCGGAGTCTTATAGGGCGTGTCCCCTCTCTATGGCCTCGTCATCGAGTGTAGATAACCTCTTCGGTTGTGTTATCTGTGTCCTTGAACCTTGGCGATGTCTTCCTAGAAATCCAACGAAGGGCTTTCTTCCGCCAGAAGACAATGTATCGATGAAAGTTGCCCACAATTATATGTTTGATTAGTTTCCACGTTTCCCTGGCTTGCGATCTCTTGCATCGCGTCGATGTACAGCCGTGCACTTTCGTTTGATCTTCTTTTTCGCTGTTCCAGTACATGAACTATGTCACTGTTCGTTTCTATTTCAAACTCGAACATTAACTTTTCTCTTAATTTCTTCCATGACGTTATTCTTTTTTCGTACGTAACGAACTACTTGACGAAACCTTTTAGCATACGTTTTCCGTACAGCAGCGTCTGCACCTCCTTCCAGTCCAATAACGTACCCAATTCTTCAAAGTCCACGATCCATTTTTCGATTGGGAGTTTGTCATCTCCTGTAAACTACGCTAAACTCTCGTCAACGTTTTTATTGTAAATTTAACACGTTCCCTGCCGCGTCGGGCGTATGCGCCCCACGCTGAACTTTCCGTTCAAGCCATTTGGTATTACCATTGTAAAATGAAGAATTTTTTAAAAATTCATTATGAAGTCTATTATGGGCATCTTAATACTATTGCTGATGCGTTCATTTGATCGTGAGGAGTATATGCCCCACGTAGAGTGATGGTCAATTTTTCTTATCGCAACTTGTTTTAACTGCACTTCTCGTGTTTCGATCAGTCATTTATTCGAGTGCCGTTGATATCACAATTACTGCTTCGCTGAAGCTGGGATTTATTTATAGTTACTGTAATAGTTGCAACATTCTGCGATAGTTGTGTGGATAAACCACACTTATGTTTGCCATGTTTTAACAAAGTTCACCGTAACATCCCTTTGTAATTGTATACAAACTTGATTTCAATTAAAATGTTTTATTTTAAACTAATATAGGCATGATAAAAAAATTATATGTGAGGATGCAACTCGCTTGGTAGAGTAATGTTCAGCCAGGTATTTGTTAAACTAATTCCTAGAAAAATAAATTTATTGGTTTGTTGTGTTATGCATCTTAAACTATACACCCTTTCCTTGATAATTATGATTTTTGCACTATTTTAATCATTGTAAGGCATACGCCAGAAACAAAACAATACAACTGTAAAGCGTGGGGCGTATGCAGGGTCTGGCAGGGACCCTGTTAACCCTTTGAGCGCTGAGTTGTGCGACGTTAAGCGTGCCCTGTGTACCGTCCATTTCTTACGACAAAGCACGCGCTGGGCTGCCTGCTTTTTACGACGAAGCGCATGCTGCGCTGACTGAAATTTCATTGCAAAATGTGTTGATTGTAACTGAAATAATTTGAGCAGTGACTGCAAAAACCTTAACAGAACCATTTATTTCATTAAGCAATAATAACATATACAAAATACAATATACAAAATACAGCAATAATAACACAATATAAAAAATAGTAAATTATATCTTTTAAATTGAAAATTTAATAATTTCGTATTGTGTGCTAAATCTCAAAGTAGAGTTCAATATATAGGCCAATGTTACATTTTTTGCATTCATAGCGCGAGTCAGTCCTGCGATTATGTTTAGCGCAAACAGTGCATCTTCGCCGTGAAGGACATTTATTAGTTTCTTTATTTTTGCAGGATGTAAGGAAATGCCTCTTCGTTAACCGAAATGAAAGGTCTTCCGAACGAACTCTTCCTCTTTTAGCCTCTTCTCTGCATGATGGATATTTTTGTAAAATATCTTTTATGAGAAGTAAATGAAATTTTTCAAATGTTGCAGTTTTATTATTAGCACTTTTGCGAAGAATATATGCATTGTATATAGCGAGATCTAAGAGGTGGAAAAAATATGAACGCAGTGAAGTAAACTCAAAATCATATCGATTTTATCAACTGCGCCTATCAAGGCATTGTAATCTGCTACACACTTTGGTTTTTTCTTTGTTTTGCCACTTTCATAATTAATTTTTTTGGTTTCAACAAATTCATCAAAATGTGAACTAGATAACATCCATACGTCTTTTTTATCACGCTACTTTAACGCTAATAGATTGTGTGTCGAAATTTAACGCTGCGCGTGGCGCATCGCGTGTACGTCCGGTCTTTATTTCGATGTCTTGCTAACTTCTTCGTGCACTCGTTTGATGCATCCGTGTTTTCGTCAAAATCACCCTTTTCCGTCTCTTCACCATCGGACCTTTCTTCTACCATGTTACCTTTAACATGGTTTAATAGCATGTTCCTTAACTTCTTCTCTCTTTCCCATGGGTTCCAGATTTACATTTGTTACTTCTCGTTTCTGCTGATCCACTTTCATTCGCATTATTCTCTCTTCTGTAAGTGTGTCAGTCGTTTTTCTGTTTGTCTCGTTCGACTTTTAATATCGTTTTTAATAACGCTCTTCGAACATCTCGTTTCTTCCCGCTTCCATCGTTTCACTGAAATTCTAAGCGCTTATCGTTTTTTTCTTTTTTAAATTTGCCACAGTTTTTATTATACTTGAAAAAAGATATTACGACAAATATGAAAGATTAACTCTTTTTTGCTATTAACACTTTACCGACCGCTAGCGAGTCAACAGCATAATCACATCCGATCGGCCTCTCAACCGCAGATTCTCCCTGGCACCCCCCATATAAAAATGGGGAGCTTACAAAACAACGCAACTGATACAACTGAGCAAAGTACCTCAATGCTAAATAACAAATTACTATTCATATAATGATAATGACTGTTCATCGTCATGACAACCGATTAATACGCTACATAGATTGGTAAGCGTCGGTGACAAAAAGATGATTAATAGGCTATCGGTCGATAGGTGTCGGCGACAAAAAGCCGAATAATAGGCTTCCGGTCGATACAGTGTTAAGTTGACAATATTTTTGACAATAACATCTAAAGAAATCGTGTATAAATTTATCTATAATACTGTTTTGTTCCAATATCTCATGTTTCGTTACAATATTTTCAACTTAATGTTGATTATAAAATCTTTAGGATTTTGCTAACAAAAGTAGTCAACTGGAAGTCGCCTCTCGAATGCAAAGGCTTAAATATTATTCAAAATGCTAGAAGGAAATGTGATTAATTTTTACTTACTAATGTTTAATTAAATGTTTAATCGGTAGTAAGAAGAATTATTTAATAATTCATTCTTTAACGTGTCTATTATCATTAAAAAAAAAAAGTATCACATAATGAAGGATGTCTTTGAGTTGGAATTAGAAATTTTCTCTTATTATTGATGGAACTTCGTGTTAGATGAAAATACATATTTGGCAAACCCTCAAATACGCTTTGCATTAATGATTTAAAAAAGGGTTATTTTTTTACTGTAATACTATGAATGGAATGATACTGAATATCATTATCTTAAATTCAATGCTGATTACTTGTTGCTCAAATCCTTAATTTCCTATGATAAAACATATGTTATTAAATGGCAAATAAAATGTAACGTGTTAACAATACTATTTGCTACTTATAAAGGATATTTTGTTCATTGGTCAATGGAAGAAATAAAAAAATGTAGCAAAAAGAGATTGCTATATTCTTTCAAAGACGGCACAAATTTTTACAGGAGAAAGAGAGTGGATAGATATTAAAAGTAAATGTTATTTTTGAAAAATAAATACCTTCTGAGTTATTAATGAAAAACTCTTGACCCTATACATAGAAATTCGTTATACAAACGAATTTTAATCCAACACCATAAACAAAATATATATTTAAAACAATATTATACAAGAAATGTATATGTATTTCATTTAACATCCTTCTTTGGTCTTTCTCCAAATATAGCGCTACCAACTCTAACATTGGTACTTCCAAGCTCCACCTGCATAAAATTAATTTCATATTTTGATATACTTATATTTAATACATTTGAAAAATTATGAAAATAATTTCTATTGATATTACCGCATGTTCATAATCATTTGACATTCCCATCGATAACTCTATTTGTTTGGAATCCATGTTTAATTCCTTGACAATTTTTTCTCTACATTCTTTCAAACACAAGAAATCAGGATTTGGTCCTTTAGTAATATCATATCCAAACATGCCTATTGTCATAATACCCATAAATTCTAAGTTCTCGCAATTGGCAACTATATGCCGAACGAGAGAACAAACTTGTGTAACTTCACATCCATTTTTTTCTGAAAATATAAATTTTGGATACATTATAAAAATACAATTGTTATGCATATAATAACCATTAAAATTTCTTAATCCATAAAGAAGCTAAAATGACTCTCGTAACTAAGTCAAACCTTAATTTAGATTTATTTGATACTGAAACAAAAATTTGTTATAATTCGATGAATTCTATAGGTCATACTTCCTGAATATGAAATTTCAGCTTCAGAAATTTAACCCTTTGAGCGCTATGAAGCCATATATGGGTTCTCGCACAACCATTCGATTTGGGCTATGAACGCATATATGGGTTCTCGCACAACCATTCAATCTGGGCTATGAACGCTGTAAAGTTTTATAAAATAATAATTTTGTAATAGTTTACAATTAGTTTAGAATATTGCCGAAACGTGCTTCGTCGTAAAAAGCAGGCTGCCCAGCGCGTGCACTGTCGTAAGAAGTGGGCGGTCCCACAGCGTACGCTTAACGTCGAACAGCTCAGCGCTCAAAGGGTTAACCCTTTGCACTCGAGAGGCGACCATCGGTCGCCATTGGATAAAATTTCGAAGATCGATATTAATTAATATATCAAATTTAAGATAATGTAACGGCTGTGCGAGCTATCGAAATCGAATATTTCTACGTGTTAATTATTATACGATTTCTTATTTACTGCTGAAAGAAATATCGCCAGCTTTATAGCAGAAAATCTTTGAACTCCTACTCATTAGCTAAAAAATCGTCGAGTGCAAAGGGTTAATAGCTACCGAACTATTAATAACATAATTTTTTAAAACATATTTACTGTTTATTTAGATATATAAACATAAAAAAGAGAAAAATTATGAGAAAATATGAGATGACTTGGGCATATTATTTTATCCGGCAACTAGAGACATCTGGTTAATCATTGTTAAAAGTATATTCTATTACTTGTGCTGAAAAAAAGGGACTCATTTTGTATAAAGAACCCTATATTTATTGTCACTCTGTCATCGACTACTCAACAGTTCACGACGACACTACAAAGAATGACGGTTGATCAGTGACGTCTGCGTAACGTCCATACAGACAGAATTCAATGTGTTATACGGAATGTTTTTTATTCATATGTCGAAAATGAATAAAAAACCCAAATTAAAATTTTATATTTAGGATTTATTTCCCGATTCCCTCTCCCCAGAATTTGATGCTGATCGATCATTGAGGCTTTTCGGAAAAATATCCATTCTATCTATTTATGGCTTGACCTTTCTACTCTATACAAGATGTATCGCATAATTGTCGGCACAATTTTTTATCGTTTGCAATAATAATCAGAAAAAAGAACTATTTAAAACACGTGGTAACTAATATTTATCGATTGGCAATTGTGATAAAATTTAAAAAAAATATAATTTCTCCCATAAAAAATTAAAGTCAACTTGTCTTTTTTCAACGATACTGTCTGATTTAAACTTTATCATATTCTAGCTCGTATCAATATGATTTCATTGAATTACTATGCCATAATCATGAAATAACCTTAAAGTCAGGAATGTAAAATTCATAAAAATTAATCGAAATCAATTGTCTCCATTTTGTACAAAATCGTTTAGTAGTTTTCAGAGAATACTCTTAGATAAACTAGAAACTATAAAAACAGTACGAATTTTTGTCCAAATGGCTCAAGAATTTAATAGCACTGTCTTCAATTATAATTAATTGTAACTTGTTCCCTTCCTTCTTTTCAAATTCTCTATAGTTTCTTAAATTTGTTTTTTTAATTAAATTTCTTAAATATAAAATATTTATACACAAGGTTAATGCCATTCTCGATGTCTTATATAATACAGAAACGTATCTTCACGTGCATTCCATTTGTGCTCACCGAAAATTAACAATATATATTAATTTTTTCATAAGTGGAACATATTTTTCACAAACTACGAGTGTACTACTTGCACTAACGACAAACTAAGATGGAATACAAGAACTGTCTTAGTAGCGTTAAAAATAAGTGCTACAGATTGTAGATACTTTTTTTCTTTGTTGATCTCTGAATTTTCCATGAATACTTAAATTCAAGATTTAGATAATGTTAATAAGACCTACCCTAGGTAGAAACCTACGCCCTATCTAACAAAGAAATTGCAAGCTTCTTGGCTCACCGATTTAGTTCAAATTTTGCAGAGTGCTAGATTTGATTCCCTTATTTACGAAATTATATGATTCTATAAACCACTCGTTATTTTTTTTAATATTTGCAATTAAAAACTCCTTCATTGTTTAAATGGAGTTCTATTCAGGGTGGGTACCATGTAATAGTTTGCCTAGCAGCAGTTCTGTCAATTGTACTTGGAAATGCAGAAAACAATAAATAAATTATTTGTCACATTGACAGCATAAGTATAAAAATAAGATTAAATTCTTGTTCCCCGTTATCCATACAACGGTGGAACTTATAAAAACAAGCACCTCGCATACCAAATACATAAATGCAGAATTGCTGTGAAAAGCATTTACTATTTTGCATTTCTTTGGGGAAAAAACTTCATTAACATTTTCGAAAATCTCTCTTTCTCTCGCGCAACTGATAATGTACGAATGAGTATAACTAAATGGCACTTTCCCTGTTTGTAATTTCTCGTTCATCCTCTGTGAAATAACAGCTGTTTTGAATTCTTTTTAAGAAGTGGATCACTGACTTTAAAAATGATTTATATAATTCGAAATTTCATAGCAGCTTTTATTGTTTCGCCCAAACTTGCATTTTCTTTAAATAAGACGTATTTGACTACTTTTCTTTGCCGAATTCGACGTTTATTTTTGAAGTAGTATATTCGATGAGTAAAAACTTTGAATGAAAAACCATCTGATTAAAACTGCTGGTTCTTGCAACTGTTGCAGTAGGCAATTGATAGCTTGTTGAAAATTTTGTCCAGATTCTTTAAAACAATCCTAGATCCGTTTATCAATGGCATCGTACTTATAAAATATTGTATCTTCTATTTTAATTTGATTTTCCCTAAAGATAATGTCATTTTTTCTGTTTAGATGTTTGCTCCTTTTTTCCGAAGGATTTACAAACGCCATGAGGGATAATGGAATATGTAAATAATGTTTTTTCTTCCAGCTCGTACCGTTCATTGTCTATAAAATCCTCGTATATTTCTTCATATATGTTTTCATGATCCAATTCATTATTATTAATTGGATACTCCTCTGTTATTACTTCATATTCATTTAGCATGTCAATGACATTTTTTGTAATTTTTACGTCTACTACTATTGTTATATCAGAAATCGCAGTAGATACTTTTGAATAAACCAAAGTATCTTCTAACAATTGTTTTTCATTTAATTTTTTGTCAAACTTACGATCACCGCGTGGGGAGTACTAATTACTTGTAAAGTTGAAAATTGTGGATTCATTTTAATTTTGCTATAGTTGATTGTGGATTGAAAGATTGATCGTGACTGATCGCGGGATTCATTTCGACGCTGGTGAATAGCCTTATGAATTTCGTTGGTATAAACGAAATACGGTGAAACCATTGAAAGATTTCATAAGTCAAAAAGAAAGATCAGGTTGGAACAAGCATTTGTATAAATAACGGTATCTGCAGTTTTTCCGCTTAATGATAATTTATATTTTTATCTTTTTTCCTATAGCAAACAAAACTTTTGTATATCTTCTAGTAAGTAAAGACATTTTATTTGCAATTTGTTTAAAATTCATTACCTACTTTTATATCTAAATAATTGATAGAAAATAAAAAAGAATTGAAAGGAGGAAGAAAGAACCATAGATCCACACTGTAGGAAGCGAAACCAGTTGTCGATGGAATAACCATTACATGGGTTTGCAATCTCTAGAAAGATAATTGCTCAATTTGTGTCCACAAAACTTTTTGTTAAAAAACATGAATTTTAAACATATAAAATTTAATTTACATGAGTAATAGAATTTTTCACAAGAATTTTCCGTTCGTAGATTCCACATTTCTGACTACAATATTATTTCAAAGTCATGGTATAGGAGTTCGTTGAACTCGTTCTGATATGAACTACAAAATTATAAAACATAAAACAGGCAGTGCCATTTGAAAGCTTTAAAAAGAAGTGAGAATGATCTTTTATCAAAAAGAATTTTTTTTTCTTAATTCTAATATCGATGAAAATCCGACTAACTTTTTTTTCAAAATGACTTTCCTCAGAATATTGTAATTGCCTAAAATATCATAACGGCAATTATACAGGGTGATTCGCTCGCTAATAGACTCACAAGCAGTACCGTATTTAGAAAACCTGAATACTTGAAGCTTTACAGCTCACACATACACGCATACAAATGTAATTAATGCACACATTCGTCAGATTATCGTGTAAAGACATAGAACTATCGAATTCACTATACATTTATGAGAGATGTTGCATTAGTTCAAGCATAGAATATTATAAATATTATGTGCTATACCTTCATAGCGTGATTTTATATCTTTAATGGATCAATAGTTTCATGATCGAAAGGTAATATTATGTCATCTATCTATGCATTAAGAAACAAGTGACGTCAACACTGATGTCAAGAAAAACAAATTATTTCTCTTGCTCATGTCGGCCTACCTGTTAATGGGTTCATAGGGAATAGCTCTTCAAGTAGGGATTATTAATAAATTGTGAAGAATTTGTCAAAAATTGAGGAATAATATAAAAATAAAACTAAGAAACTTCCTTGAACAAAATGGTGAATGATTATATCGAAGCTGACGCACAAACACAACTTTTAAGAGAAATAAATCAAAACGGTTCTATTTTATGGGATTGACGAAGAGACAGGGAATGAAAAAATAATTTTTATAGCTTGCTGTTACCCAAGAAAAAAAGTTCAGTGGTGTCAAATCAAGAGAACAAAGAGACAATTGTGAAGCAAATTTACGTTCTATCTATCAAGTTCAAGAAAGAGCAACAACATGCAATGCCAGCCACTGAAAATATTGTTGATCTGGTACTTCTGCTGCATGCAATGGTCTTCCGTTATTCCGCACTGAATAATATATTTTTTGATCTAAATTGTAAGCTTCTGCTGCTTTGTCACAGGAACATAGCATGTTATTTATACATATAACAAAGCATGTTATTTGTGCAAAGTATGAAAATATTATAATAAAGTAAGTCCAAGATTTTTAGAAATCTTCATATAGTTTTTCCAAGAGAGCAGGTTTGATTTCTTTGAAATTTTTTACTTTCTCGATAAGTAGAATATGAAGCAACAATAAAAGAGTAACCTTGAAAAAACTAGTAAAGATCAAGATTGTGGAAACTTTTTTAACAGATCTCCACCAATTCAAAGGTAGACTCATACTATGAAGATCATAACATAATTTTTATACACTCTTTAGAAATGTAATTTTTATATAATTATATTTCTTTGAGTACATCAGTGGGTGTACTTTTTCATTCTCTATAAAAGTATATTACAATTCCTGTATCTTAGAAGTATTAAATCAAGATCTATTTCAACTTTAAATTTATTATTTTAATTTTATTTTTTTAATTTAATTTTATTTATTTAATTATTTGAATTTCCTGCATCAATGATAAATTATAGAATTTTACAGATACTGTTTTATGTTAACACATGTACATATTTTTATACAATATCTTTAAACGCTTCAAAATAATACATTTTAATTAAAAATTGAAAAACTTAAAAAAAAACTCTTAAACTAATAATTTTAAATCATTAAGTATAACAAATAATAATACTTTTTTATGTATTTTGTTATCTTTTGTAGAAAATGAGAAACTACAATTTCTCTTTATGAATACATTATCTTCAGCTGCTGCTGTTTATGGATATAAAATATGTAAAAAATATATGCAAATATATACAAAGAATAGGTAACTTATGAATAACATTCAACCTAAATTTATTACATATAGCATTATCTAAGAGTAATAGATTAAGAGTATATCTTCCTTGCAAAAGTGTACTTTTATCATGTAATTCATCGACTCTAATTATTTACAGCAAAATAAATAAGATTTAGTTATTCTTTTGTCACTCACTTCACCTACTACTAGATTTGCTATGTATCATTCTATTTTGTTCATCTACAAGAATCTATACATAATTATCTTCTATATTCTTTATTATTATTTGGATAATTAAATCATAGTACCTATCTTAATAATATTTTGCTCATATCAATTCACCTGAAATACTGTGATTTGTACATTTCAATAAAAAATGTCTCCATATTTTACTGCCACATTCATAGCTATAATTGTTGAGTTAAATCCATGTAGAACTAATTATTTTTTTTAACTTCTTGCTGCATTTTCTGAAATAACAAACTCATTCAACCTAGTAAATGCCTGTACGTTTTTTTTATAGTAGTCAGTATTAATTAACATTTTTTACTGCATCAAACCATAATAATGAAAGATATGTTATAATAAGTTATGAATCTAAAATTATTACTTCACACATATGAGTGTATATTGGACTATTGATATTAACATATTTATCATAGATTCTGCAACAAATTATGTTACAAATAAAATGTGGATCATCTACAATTTTAATCTATTTGTTTATTATATCGATTCTGCTTTTTCTTATTTTCATGAAATACAAATTTTTCATTTTTATACATAAACTTAGACACATGTATTTTAAATACAATTGACTAGAACTATTGTATACAGGAACATAAATTATACAAGAAACTCTATATGGGAAATGTCACAGTCAAACTGATTACCATAAAAAATAACTATCTATAGATTCATAATAAACTAATAATATATGTATGATACATTCTACTAATGACTAAACCTATTAATGAATTTCAACACTCATATATATTATGATTTATCACTGGTATAGTATAATAACTTGACAATTTGTCTTTAATTATAGTCGAACATAGTGAAATAGATATAAAAGCAATGCATATATGATACATATATGCATATATCTTTTAACTAAAATATGCAGAACATACTATTTTGCATATCATATATTTCTATAACAAAATATGCGTTTATTTAAATATCCATAGTCTAACTATCGCATGAATTTTCAATTCAGTTTTTATTTTTACATAAAATGGAAGCTGTAGTCTTAATTAATTAATTTCATCACAATATATAAAATACCTTGCTCGTTGCTAGTATTAACCTGTACCATCACTTTTAATTTTAAGTCATCATATTTTCTAAATTTGGGCCAAGAAACATTTAATGCTGATGCAAGCTTTTCATTATCTACTGTTTCAATTACATATAAATTTGGAACACCTAATAACTTGTTTACTTTATTACGTTGAAGATGGCCAATAAAATGCCAACGTATATCTGGACAGTTTTCTAAAATATTTGGATAACTTCCCTTTTCTACTAATTCATTAACATAATTTTCACCAAAATGTTTTTGTCCAACATTGTAAGCTTCAACAATTAATTCAATTGGTTTTAACTTACTCACAGCTACTAAACGTGGTTCAAAATATTTGTATATCTGTAAAAAAGAAAGGTTAAAATTATAAATTATTACTATTTCAAAAATTTCAAATACATTCTTTACATTTTTATATAATGCATTTAATATATTTATAAATATAAATTGTTAACATACCGGTAATCTGTTAGAAGAAGCAGCAATAATTTTATTCCGTACTATTTTTATATTTGCTGCTATTTCTGTCATTTTTTGATACTTTGTAACGAATTTATTAATATATTTATCAACATATATATCTATGCTTCTAACACATATTGACATACGTATTATATATTTTTTTTAAATTCCCTAAAAGATAATTTAATCATACAATTTAGTAAATCAAAATTCGAAGTTTTTATTAGAAGGAAACCATTTTATTTATTTAAATTTCTCTGTAGATTACTCTAGATTTTAAAGCAGAAAACAAGATAC